AAGCATCCCTAACACCAGGCCACCGTGGGGAGGGAGAAACCTGGAAAAGGAAAGGGTGGGAATCCAATTTCCTTTGGCTGTGACTCTCTTGTCCTTTAAGACTTCCAGGGCCTTCCCCTTTGGCCAACAATTTGTCAGAAGAATGAGATTTCAATCAGGTTTTCTCCTGAAAACTGATAGGGCATTATCCAACTTTAAAAAGCAAGGAGATTCTGACATATGTTACAACGTGGATGAACCTTGAGGATGTTATCGTAAGTGAAACAAGCCAGGCACAAAAAAAGACCAATGCTGTATAATTCCACTTATATAAGGTATATACAGTAGTCAAAAATCATAGAGACAGAAAGTAGAATGGTGGTTGCCAGGGGCTGGGGGTTAGGAGAATGGGGAGTGTCTAATAGATAGAGTTTTGGTTTTACAAGATGAAAAAGTTCTGGAGAGTAGTTGCACAAAATGTGAACATATTTAACACTACTGGCCTGTACACTTAGAAATATATACGTGTGTGTGTGTGTGTGTGTGTGTGTGTATGTATTTTGAGATGGAGTCTCATTCTGTTGCCCAGGCTGGAGTGCAGTGGCACAATCTCGGCTCATTGCAATCCCTGCCTCCTGGGTTCAAGTGATTCTGGTGCCTCAGCCTTCTAAGTAGCTGGGATTACAGGTGGGCACCACCACACTTGGCTAACTTCTGTATTTTTAGTAGAGACTGAGTTTCACCTTGTTGCCCAGGCTGGTCTCGAACTCCTGGCCTCAAGTGATCCACCCACCTCAGCCTCCCAAAGTGCTGGGATTACAGGCATGAGCCACCATGCTCAGCCTCTGTACACTTAGAAATATTAATAGTTAAAATGGTAAATGTTAGGTTGTGTGTATTTCACCACAATTTAAGAACCAGTAAGTAAAAGAGATAAGCACATGGTAGGCGCTTGACTTCATGCAATAGAATCACAATAAATACGTGTTGAATGCAGATGGAAAGAAGTGGCTAGGCATAGTGGCTCACACTGATAATCCTACAACTTAGGAGGCTGAGGCAGGAGGATTGCTCCAGCCCAGGAGGCTATAGTGAGTCATGATTATACTAGTACACTCCAGCCTGGGTGACAGAGCAAACCTTGTCTCTCAGGGATGAAAAGAAGTGATGCTGACTGATGGTCTCAGATACAGGGTGAACATGACAATGGGCATCTTTTCTTTACCAGAAAGACTTTTCTTTAGCAGAAAAGCCTTCCAAACAACTATGATTAGTCATAGTTACCTTTTCCTTGAGGTGATAAATTAGTTCTCTTTCCTATTCTCATCTCAAAGTAAAAATATATTTTCAGAGAAAATTCTAAGGATGGCATGGCGCTGAGTTCTACCTGAGCCAGAACCTGACATCCTGTATGTTCTCGGTCACTGGTAGCAGTGACGGCCAATTTTCTGTTGATTTCAGGGATGCAACATCCCAATCATAGAACTTCAGAACCACAAGGGCTCTGAGCAGCCTGTAAGATTGAAGGGATTTCTCTCCCGCTTAGTAAAAATGCATAAATACAGTAAACATTTTAAATAGTGACTTTTCAAAAGCCACAGGAGCCAGCAAGTGGCAAAGCAAAGCCTTCCCCCACACCTACAGCAGCAGACAGTGCACAACTTCTTCCCCTTGGTCTCGTCTTGCCATTGGAGTCACTGCTGTGCAAGGGGGAAGGCTCTCTTTGTGGACACTCCAAGGCCCACCAGCCACAGCTTTTGCCAGGATTACAAGGGGAGACTGAGTCTGTTCATAATGGGACTCTCAGCCCAGAGGCAGGTGTAGATCCTCCAGGGGAAGGGTGGTGGAGTGCAAAGAGAGCATGAGCCCCCAAATGCAGCTGGCTCTGCAACTGCCTGGATGTTTCCTGGAGCCCCTGCTGTTAAGCCCTTGTGAGCAACTCTGACTCACCCCAACATCCCTGCCTGACTGTCAAGTCTCAGCCAGAGGCAAACTCAGAGTTGACAGTGACAGGTAAAGTTCACCACAAGCGATTTGGTTATTAAGGCCCCTGCCCCGCAGGACTCCTGGATTTAGAGTATTTCCTATATTTCCCATGAACACCTTTAACCCAGTAAGATGGAGCGGTGAAGCTCATTTCTGGGTCAGAAGAGCTGTTAGCCATAGGTGGAAGCCCATGTCCAGGGAAGGGAATGGGAGATGGGATGTGCAGAGTCAGGAGAACTGAACCTGGGGATGTTTACACCACAACCTTCCACACCCACTTGGAAGTTTAAATAACCAGTTTCTCCCAGTTGCTTTGTGTGTCTGGGAGTAGCTCTCTTTCAAGAGGTAAAAGCAACCATTGTAATCTCTTCTAAAGCCTTGCAAAAGACATCCTTCCACTCCTGTTTGCCAGGGGTGGGGTGAGATAAGAGAAGTCAGCAGCTTTTTCTCCAAGAGTCAAAGCTGCAGGGTTTCTGACTTTGGAGAGACCTTGCAAGGCCTAGGGGTCTGAGAAGCATCAACGTGGCTGATCGCAGAAGCACACAGTTCCACGGGGACTGCTGGACTTTATCTGAGGGCTCCAGGACTATTTTGCCCAGTGGGTTTATTTACCTTCCTATTGGATAAAATCTGACATACCTGACTGGCTCCCTGAGACTTGAGCAAGTTTTGTTCCACTGTCATCATTCATTTTGGACTCCAAACACAAGCTGCTCACACTATGCTGAGCTGGGTGGGCTTGGAGTGGGTTGGGGGCAAGAATTACATCCTTCTGGACGAATAGAGGGAGTGCATCTTTTGCATGGACTGGGAGCTGGGGAGTGGGTCAGAACCCAAGTGTTTCACAGATCTCTTGCTGCATCCATTAACATCATTGGTGGAAAAGCACACAAACCGAATAGGAGGAGAACCCAGTCATTACCATTTCTCACTAATTTCTGGCTCTCCTTTATATGATTACTAAAAAAAGCATAAACCTCTCCACATCAGACCAGGTAAAACTGTCAGTTTCCAGCAGGGATACTGAAACTAGCAGGCCATAAAGCTGTGTATCCCGGCTGGGCATCATGGTACGTGTCTGTAGTACCAGCTACTCAGGAGGCTGAAGTGGAAGGATCACTTGAGCCCAGGAGTTTGAGGTTATAGTGAGCCACGATCACACCACTGAACCTCAGCCTGGGCAATAGAGTGAGACTCTGTCTCTTAAAAACAAACAAACAAACAAACAGACAAACAAAAAACAGAATACAAAACAAACAAACAAAAAACCTAGGTATCCTTTGTCTCCCTGAGGCTATTCCCACTGGCACAATCAGTTCTGTTCCTTTAGTCTGTGCTAAAATCAGAAGAAAACCTAGCTGATAGTCCTTGTTACACAGGGACAGCCAGGACCTCGGGGCTGGAACACAGATTTTTCAATTAATTATTAGGAGGTGCAGCAGTGGGGAGCACTTCCTCAAATGTAGAGAAGCGTGTGCAGGAGTGTGTATTAGAGACGGGACAAGCAGATTCCATAATTCTACATTTGGCCTGCAGGGAGCAACATCTCTCTAGCAATGACCACACCACATACTTAAACAGATACTGCAGGAAATGCATTTAATTAGCCAAGGAATGAGAGTTTTGTTTTTAAAAATTAAAAAAAAAATTACATCAATATATTTCTACTAAGTAATTTCTAGTCCTGCATATTTTCATATAGAGATGTTGCTATTTTTCTATTTACAGTGCTAGGTGCATAGTGAGCTTTCAACAAATAAACACTTATGGATTGTTCAGTTGGCTGAGAATAACTCAGACTTGCCTGAGGCATGGAAAATACAGGGTGAGAAGAGGAGGAAGTACCGATTGGTAAATGTGCATGGAAAAGCACTGCTACAGTTTGAATGTTTGTTCCCTCCTAAACTCACACTGAAATTTAATTACCATCCCAGTAGTTTGCAGGATTAAAAAAAGAAATTTGGCCGGGCGTGGCCAGCTGTAACAGCATTTGGACGAGGCGGGATCAAGGTAGGAGATCGGACCAGTGACGTTTTTTAAAATTAGGGGCGGTGGGGCTGTAGTGTCTCGGGGTGAGGGAGTGGGGGGGGGGGGTTGGTGAGGGATCGCCCTGCTCGCTGGCAAGGTGGACTGTCTAAAAAAAAAAAAAAAAAAAAAAAAAATTGATGCATTGTAATATGTAGGTGGACTTTTTTTTTTTTTTTTTTTTTTGAGACAGAGTTTCACTCATGTTGCCCAGGCTGGAGTACAATAGCACAATCTCGGCTCACTGCAACCTCCACCTCCCAGGTTCAAATGATTCTCCTGTCTCAGCCTCCTGAGTAGCTGGGATTACAGGCATCCACCACCTCACCCAGCTAATTTTTGTATTTTTAGTAGAGGTGGGTTTCACTGTATTGGCCAGGCTGATCTCAAACCTCTGACCTCAGGTGATCCGCAAGAGGTGGGACCTGTAAGAGGTGATTAGGCCATGAAGACTCTGCCCTTATGAATGGATTAATGTCATTATCAAGGGGGTGAATTTGTTATAAAAGAATAAGTTTGGCCCCTCTTGCTGTCTCAGCCTCTGTTTGCCTTTCAACAGTGGAATGATGCAGCAAGAGGGTCGTTGCCAGATGCCAGCACCTTGATACTGGACTTCTTAGCCACCATATCTGTGAGCCAATATATTTCTGTTCCTTATAAATTACCCAGTCTCAAGTATTCTGTTATAGCAGCACAAAGCAAATGAAGACTAGCACTTTCCTGTCTGCTTAATAGCTTGCCCAAGAAAAACAAATGCATTTGAAAATTTATGAAAGATCTCTCTCTAAAAGCAAGCCATGATTGTTTTTAAAATAAGGGATCCAGCTTCGGCCTCCTAAACAGGAAGGAAACCTACTAATCTTGGGTTTTATATAAACATATTGCCTCCTTAAAAAAAAAAAAAACAAAAAAAAATCTTAAATTCAAAGTTCATCCTTCATATGTATTAGAGAAACAAGTTCCAGGTTTATGCATGTTATGCATGTTTAAAGTTTTACATTTAGACTCAGCCCTGTCAAATGCATTTATTCCAAACTGACTCAGCCCTCTCCCCAGCTAGATTCTTCAGAGACTGTATGAAGCTGTCAAAGTCCACTCATCACTGAAAGGAGCCACTGAGATTAGTTTTGGCAGGCAGCACTGAGCAAAGAGCAGGGCACCCCGGCCTGGGCTTGGTCAGCCTAGCAGCAAATGTGCATGTGTTCTTAGAGGCAACAATCTCCTCTTCCCACAGAACAGGTTGTGGGCTCCCAGGGACTTACTCCTTTTGCTGGGACTTGCCCCAAAGCCATCTGTCTATCTCTTAGAACTTCTTGGTTTTCCAAGCAGCAAAGTATGAGCACCTTTACTGCCAACAGTGTCCAAGAGCACCCTGATCCCAGGTGGACCCCTTTTCTGGAGGCCAGTAGCCTCAGGTAGCTTTGGAGGGTGGGCCTGCAGGGAGAGGGGCTAGGCAGTCTGTCTGTCCATGAGTGAGGGACAGACACACTCCTCAGCCCCCTGGAGGGTGGTGGTCTTCCACAGAAGCTACAGATTGGCGTTTCAGCTTCACTTCCAATGACACTGAGCCAACCAATGACCACTGGCCTCATCACAGGCCCAGGTTTCCCATCTGCCAGTGTTCATGGCCACATTGCTTCACAGGCTGAAGTCTCTGCAGGGAGAGGAGACAGCAAGGTGACTGAAGCAGGGGCAGCTGGGAAGGAGACATCTGTGATCTCTCGACCAGCAGGAACACTGCCTCCCTACCCAACCAGGTGTACATAATGCAGGAACCAGAGTGACTTTCCTTCACTCCTGAGCTTGTTTTGTTTGTGTTTGTTTGAGACAGGTCTTGCTCTGTCACCTTAGCTAGAGTGCAGTGGCACGATCTCAGCTCACTGCAGCCTCAACCTCCCAGGCTCAAGCAATCCCCTCATTTCAGTCTCCCAAGTAGCTGAGACTATAGGCATGCACCACCATGCCCAGCTATTTATTTTATTTTATTTTATTTTTTGTAGAGACAGGGTTTTGCCATATTGACCAGGCTGGTCTCAAACTCCTGACTTCAAGTAATCCTCCCGCCTCAGCCTCTCAAAGTGCTGGGATTACAGGCGTGAGCCACTGTGCCTGGCCCACTCCTGAGGTTGTTATGTGTCCTCTCGGGGAGGCCCCAGCATCACTGCTGGCTCCAGCTCCCAGCCAGGGCCCTAGGTGCACATGCAGGAGGGACGCGGCACCATCATTCTGCCCTCGCAAGGTGCCGAGGCTGTGAGTGAGCTCACCCGAGGAGGAGGGGAATCAGTGGGTGACCCCACAGCCAGGGCCTGAGCTCAGGAAAAGCGGCACTGTGGCAGGTGTGTGGTATGTCAGGAACCCAGAAGCTGCTGTCCTAGGCCCCTTTCCTCCCTACACCAAGATGTGGTGTAAATGAGGGGCCTCAGCTCAGGGACATTTTGCTGAGTGTCAGAAACAAAGGGATAGTCAGGAAACCCTGGGGAAAAGGGAATGTCAAGGTGGGTAGGTGAGGCCTTTCTACATGAGGACCAGGGGCAGGGCAGCAGAGCCCCAGAGAGGTCCAGTGGGCACCAGGGAGGGCTGCCATCTTCCTCTGTGGGGCAGGCCCTGGCTGACGGCACAGTGGTAGATAGCCCCTCCCCACCCCACTCCCCAATCAACGCAAATCTCCACATACAACCAGGTCCTGTCCTCACCTCACCATGACAACCAGCACCCAGCTCGGGCCTGCATGGCCCTGGTGTGGACCCAAAGGTGGCCTGTGGGGTGAGGGCAAGGAAGGCAGCGTCCATGTCCTTTGAGGGCAAGGCTGGCCCCGAAGTGGAGCTCTGGCCCAGAGGAGAGGCAGGCTCCAGACCAGAGAGGCCAGGAGCCAGTAGAGTGAGGCCTCCCTCTGCCACCCCTTCCCCTCCCGGCCCATCCAGGGGAGACTTGAGAAGCAGGGGAGGAGCGCCCATCACTTTCCGCCCCGGGAGAGCACTGAGGGGGCTCCAGGCTGGGTGGCCATGATGTGGTAGATGGATTCCCGGAAGCGCTGGTCCCTGCTGAGCCGCTTGGCCACCTCCTTTAGCTCCTCCATGTTGTTGGCATCCAGCTGGGAGGTCATGAAGGACTGGGACGGCTTCACTGGGAAAACAGGAGCCCGACAGTCCTGTGAACAGTGCTCCCTCCACAAAGGCCTGGCCCTGTCCCCAGCCTCACACCACCCCTCACTCCCTTATGTGTGCCAAGCTTCTTCCAGCCTCTTCCCACCCACGAGCTTCCATATCCTTTGAGAAACCCAGGGCCCTGAGAATTCACCCGTTTGCCCAAGGATGGTGGGGCCAGGTTTAAGGCCACACTATCCAGCCTCAGAGCTGGGCCAACCCTTCTGGCTCCCCATGTTGCCCTCTTCCTGCCTTGTCACCACCCTACCAGGGCACGCAGACAGCCACACTCACTGTCATTCCAGGAGGTGCTAGACCGGCGCCGGTGGAAGCGGCAGCTCTTGATGCGGCGAGTGGCTGCCTTATGGATATACACCGAGTTCTTCATGATCACGGGCATCTTGGCCTCCAGCTCAGCATTCCGGATGCACTCCTCAAAGAATCCTGTGGTGGCAGGGCCAGGAAGGGTGCGGTTCGACTGTATCCTTACCCTCAGCCGGTCCCTCCCCTCCCAAGGATCCTGGTGAGGTTGAGTAGGAAATATGCTGACCCCGTCCCTTGAGATTCCAGAGCCACCTGCTGAAGTGGACTTTCTTTGCCTTTCAAACCACAATCTGCAGCCATCTCAGGGCAGGCTTGCTGAGAACAGAGCTCTGAGCTTTTGATAAATGGAAGAAGCTCCGGCTTTCCCCCCACCACAGATCCAACAGCCACAAGAAGGCAGTGGTGCTGAGATGCATGCAGGCAGGTAACTGGAGAAGAAACCCTTCAATAGCCATAGAGCACCTCATGCATAGAAGAGCCTGTATGGGGTTCCTGGCTCTACAGGGCCGGGATCCCATCTGGGGCTGAGTGCCAAGGTTGGGGGCCAGGACCCAGAGGCAGAGCTTACTTTTCAGATGGCTCACGTCAGCTCGCATCCTCTCCTCCTTCTCCTTATTCCGCACCTTGGAATTCAGCCCCTGTTCCAGGCTTCGCAAGGCCCCCTCTGCCTCCCGGAGTCGCCTCTCCAGGTCCATGCGGACCTTCACCTCAGCCTGAGGTTGAGGAGAGGGAAATGAGAAGGAAGTCAGGTCCTGGAAGCAGCTGCCCTCTTCCCCGGAAGCCTTCCCTGGTCACCCCGGCTCAATGGGCTTGGATGGGAGTTATCACATCCTGCCTCTGAGTATTACCCTTTGAACCAGATGGACTGGACTTGGCACCTGCACCCAGCAGGTGTCTGTCAATGATGCAGCAGACTCACTGCTTTCCTTCGTGGTGGTTCCATCCCCCGTGCCTGGCCGTCCGGTCAGACCGACAGAGATAATTCATGCAGCTACCCAGTAAAGTACAGGGGTGGGACAGGAGTCTCCAGGGGAAGGGAAGGGCCCTGGCACCAGCTGCTTCCAGCAGGCCAGGTCACAGCACCTTGAGCTCCCGCTCAGCCTGCTGCTTCTCTGCTGTCAGCTCCTGCAGCGAGTTCTGTAGTGCCTGGGACTGGCTGGAGTAGAACTCACGCTCCTCCTCCAGGGCCCGTGAGCGCTCCTCGTTCTCCTTCATCCTGTGGGGACAGAAGAGGCACTTACTCAATGCTCACTCGCCAAATGGGATTGCCAATGGGTGGACAACTCCCCTTAGAGACCAAGCTGGAGAAACCTTGAATCCCAGGCTTCATGAGCTCCTGAACTTTGTGAGTCCACGCACCCAGGGGATGAGATGGATGGTGTGGTCAGTGCTGGGGGCCCTAGGTTTACAGTCAGAAGACTGGAGTCCTGGTTCCAGAGCTTGCTAGTTCTGTGACCTCAGAAAAGTCATATAACCCCTCTGAGGCTCCATTTCCTCATTTGTAAAAGGGGGCTTAAAAACTTGCCCAGCTTTCCATAAAGCATGGTGACAAGGACCTAGTAACTCTGCATGGTTCACACCACTGCACGAGATAATTATCAAGCCAGTTTTGGGTAGTGAAAGTTCTCTTCCCACTTTCCTGGTGGGGAAACGGAGTCCTAGGCAAAAGGAAGTGAGTGAGCCCTCCTTGGTCAGTGCCAAGTAGAACCCAAGAGTCCGGGTGTCCAGTTCGGGGAAAATCCCCAGACCCCAAAGTCGATGGTGTCCTCAGGGGTTGGGGCTCCCTCACCGCTTCTCTGCCAGGAGCTTCTCCTCTAAGAGCTGCTGCATCTTCTCCTCGATCTGCTGGAGGTTGCTATGGAGACCCCCACTGGGAGGGGGCTGCTCACTCTGATTGGCCAGTGTCTGCCGGTGGTTCTCATTCTCCTCCAGCATTTCCAGGGTTTTCTTCTTCTCTATGGAGAGTTCCTGGCATGGAGGGAGGGAAGGAAAAGAAAAGCCCAACTTAGGTTCTCCAAGGTGGCTGCCCTCACCTGCTTTTCCGTTCTGGGGAGTGACCCACTCCTCTCTCAGTCCTCTGTGGCTGCTGAAATGTCTTCATTCTTCTCCAGAGCTAAAAGGCCCCGATCTCTCCTGCAAGAGGGCAAGATTACTCCTCCATCAAGAGCCATAAAGGAACCCAAAGTGCCTTCCAGTGAAGACAGCACCTACTGGAGCGGGGTCGCATGACCTCTGGGGACCTGGTTCCTCCAGGGCTGAGTGAGGAGACATATTGGGCTTACGTGAAAAACACCCAACAGGAACCAGCCCAAGAGCAGATGTGGATGCTCTCACAGAGCGAGGCTGCAGTGAGCTATGATTGCACCACTGCATTCCAGCCTTGGCAACACAGCTAGAACCTGTCCCCCCACCAAAAAAAAAAAAAAGATGTCCTCTCCATTTATGAGACTGGGATCTTGTACTAAATGGCATTACACAGAAGCAGAGTTGAAAATATCCATGGGAACCACCTCCCATGATGTGAAACAGGGAAACATAAATGAATAAAGGCCCCACAAGCTCCAAGGCTCCAGCCAGTCAAGGGAGACAAGAAACCTTTGCAGCCTTGATGGTAATTCATGGATACAGCACAGATATGGGCCATATACCATAGGTGCCAGGCCCACTTCAGGGGATGGGCTTGGAGAGACCACGAAGACACAGTCTAGTGAAATTCACAGCTTGGAATATACACCTAGCATGTTAAGTCCCATAAAATATGTACAAAATGCCATGGGAGCCAAGAGCTCAGAGTAGATACTTGCCTAGAAAATCAGAGAAGCTTGACTGAGGAGATATTTGAGCTGAGTCTTAGAAGGGTGTGAATAGAAGTTCTCCAAGCAGAGAAGAGGTGGAAATGCTACACTGTGTAGAAGGAACAGTATGGACAAAGGTGTGGAGCATGACAGAGTTTGCTTCCTTGGGATACCTGAGCTCCATGGTTTGGAGCAGGGGTTGGGAGTCTTTGTGCGGGGCGTGGAGGGGCAGCAGAGGGAAGAGTGAGGCGAGAGGGAAGGGGAGGCTGGGGCCAGAGTTTGCACTTGCTTGCCATGCTAAGGAGTTTGTACTTTGTCCTTGAGGCATGTCACCTCCCCTCCCCATCCCAGTTTCTGTGGTATCAGATGATGGTGACCTGGCAGTTCATTTCCCTTTATGTTCAATGTCACTCAGGAGCAGCTAAGTAAACAAGACACAAGAAGGAAGTGGTGGCTGGGTGCGGTGGCTCATGCCTGTAATCCCAGCACTTTGGGAGGCCGAGGCGGGCGGATCACGAGGTCAGGAGATCAAGACCATCCTGGCGAACACGGTGAAACCCCGTCTCTACTAAAAATACAAAAAAATTAGCCGGGCATGGTGGCAGGCGCCTGTAGTCCCAGCTACTTGGGAGGCTGAGGGAGGAGAATGGTGTGAACCCGGGAGGCAGAGTTTGCAGTGAGCCGAGATTGCGCCACTGCACTCCAGCCTGGGCAACAGAGCACAACTCTGTCTCAAAATAATAACAATAATAATAATAATAATAATAATAATAATATAAGCACCAGAGGTGGATTTCCTGAGGCCATGGTAATAGCACGGACAAGCCTGAATTTGTCCTTTTGGGTCTGAGAACAGACACTTCTTGCTTTGGGCCTCATGCCTGTACTGGAGCTTTCAATGACCCATAGAGAAGAGATCCTTTAGATCAGCACCCCTCCATGCCCATTTCTCTTACAGATCACCCCCTGATGAAACACTGCTGGAAAAAACAGTGTCATGTGGTCCAACCAACCAGCCTGCCACCTGATCAACTAACCCACCAGCGGCCCCTCACCTCCAGCGTCTGCTGCAAGGACTCCGTGAGGTGCCTCAGTTCCTTTTTCTCTTGTTCTACACCCTTAAGGCATCTTGCAGTCAGTTCCAGCTCCCTGTGGGGACAGAGGGCTGAATATGGCAGTGCCCCTCTCCCCACCCCCGACCTATCACCTCTGCACATAGAAATGCTTTTGCTTCACTTCCTGTTGGGACTGAGAAGGGCTCTTGAATGGCCAGCCCCTCTGCACAGCTGGGCCCTGACAGCAGCAGTAGGGGCCTGGAGCTGAAAGGAAGTCCTAGCCACATGGGGTTGGAGTCACTTCCTCCAGGTACACATGCATCTGTCACCTGGAATAAACCTAGGGCCACCCCACAGGCAGAGGGAAACACTGGAGAAATGAAGGGGCCCCAGCCTCACCCTGTCTTCTCTGGACAGCACTTGCTAGAACCCATGGTCATTCTGACATAGAACATGGCTAAGGCCTCTCTCTGGGGTAACACGCTCCTTGCTGCCTTCTTCACAAGCTTCAGTCACCTTAGGCTTTTACACTAGTTTTCCCTCATCCTACTGGGAAAGTCTTTCCCTTCTCCTGCCCAATTTTCTAAATCCTACTCACCTTTCAAGGCCCATCTCAATCAGCCCTGTATTCAAGCCCACAAGGATCATGCATGTGTCTCAATTCCCATAACACGAGAAATCTGCATGTTTCCTGGGTGTGAATCTTGTTTCCCCAACCAGATCATATGTCCACTCTTCAAGGGAGTGGACTTGTCTTCTATTCCTTCTAGTACCTGGCAACATTCTGGAAGCTGAGTAGGTGCTTGTCTATTTACTTAGTAACAGCCTCTGGGTTTTTCCCTCCTCAAAATACATAGTTAATTGACACCCTTGGATAAGGCTGTTATAAGAAAACTTCTGGGTTATCACTGATCATGTGTGGTGATGATAATGATGAGGATGAGGATGATGATGATGACCACCACCACCCACGGCAGTAGTCTCCACATTTCTAGAGGCTGCCTCAGAATCACCTGGGGTGTTTTTAAAAAATATATAGATTTCTGGCCCAGTGCGGCAGCTCACGCCTGTAATCCCAACACTTTGGAAGGCCAAGGTGGGAGGATCATTGAGGTCAGGTGTTGGAGACCAGTCTGGCCAACATGGCAAAACCCTGTCTCTACTAAAATTACAAAAATTAGCCGAGCACGATAGTGCATGTCTGTAATCCCAGCTACTCGGGAGGCTGAGGCACAAGAATCACTTGAACCCAGGAGGCGGGGCTGCAGTGAGCAGATCGCACCACTGCACTCCAGCCTGGTGACAGAGCGAGACTCCGTCTCTAAAACAAGCAAACAAACATAGATAGATGGATAGATAGATAGATAGATAGATAGATAGATAGATAGATAGATAGATAGACAGACAGATAGATAGCTGGATGGATGGATGGATGGATAGATAGATGATAGATGGATAGATAGATAGATAGATAGATAAAGTATATAGATATATATACATATATAGAAAGAGATTTCTAGGCTCTACCTTCAAGAGATTATAATTCAGTAGGTGATTATAATTCAGTAGGTGATTACAATGTACAACTAGATTTACAAACAATACATGGTACTAAAGATCTCAAGTGACACATTCCCAAAAAGGACTATGCAGGAAAGACAGCGAATGGTGAGGGTCTTGGCCAACAGCAAGCATCTCTAGGCCAGCATGTCTTGTCTGGCCCTGGGTGAGAGAGGCTTTCATGAAGGCAAGGGGCTTTGTGGCTTGGAGGGATGCTCTGATGCCTTATACTCTAGTGGACAGAAATGACCCCGTTTGTTTGCGGCAGAGGAGGCTGCAGATTCTTCTGGAACACCCACGCCTGGAGCCTTGGAAGATAGACTCAAACTGGGATAGAGCCTGGAGCCTTGGGAAGATAGCATCTCTGAGGTGGGGGCCTCCTCAGGTCTGACAGGGAATGTGGGCTCTGCATGCCCTAATTTAGTGGCGCTCCCAATTCCCGGGCACCACCACCACCTCTTGATCTGCTCCTGCTCCATTCTCAGCTCCTGCACCACCTCCTCGAACTGCTGCTTCTCGGCCTCCAGCACCTGGTTAAGGCGCTCAAGCTCCTGAAGAGACCAGAGAGGAAGAGAAGAGTCACAGGCAGCAAAGGACCCCTGAGATCAGGACCCCCACTCTATCCCAAAGGACCCTCTGGGATTTGGCACAGCCTGGGGCATGTGCTGCACCAGACTGGGAATTAAGTTCTAAGGCCCACTGGCACCACTCAATGACATGTAGTCTTGACAAACCCCAAATCCATGATGAACTGAGCCCACTGAAAACACATTTTGCATGCTGAAGACTGGGTTTAGGAACACTCCCAACGTTAGTCCCTGTGGCTGGAGGAAACTAGAATTCTAAATGTCTACTCCACAGGGCAGCTCCAGTCACTGCCACCATCGGGCAGGTTGACTGTCCCTCACACCCGGAGAAGAGTGGTGAGTGTGTATTTCCATTCAAGATCCCTGGAGTGATGTCTGTTAGAAGTGGCAAGGAAAAGCTATTCCCAACCCCAAAGTCAGAGAAGAAGGACTCTTTTTTTCTCGAGGTACCTGGGAAGCAATGACTCCAGGTGACTTCGGCTTCTCTCTGCTCTGGCCCCAAAGTGGAGGAGAACTAGAAAATGCAAGACAGGCCCCAGGGGACCAGACTTGCCCCTTCAGGAATCCCAGGAAGCCCAAGTGTTTTCCCAGCAAGTATGTGTCCTCCAGGAGTCCTATTTTCCTGGGGTTCAGTGGCAGGTGGCATGGGGGGCACATTTCATGTAGTTTGGCTTGAACCATTTTTGTGACAATTGCTTTGTTCCTCCACATTTTACGCTGTGGGAGGATATTATTTCCACATTCAATTCCTTTCTCATCTTCTAGCTCCAAATTCCACTCTCATTTTCACCTGGGGGCTTTGTTCCCAAATTTAATGGAAACCCCACTGGGGAGGAAGGCTGTCTACATGGAGAAGTTGCCATGGGCCTTGAGGAGATGCAAAGAAGGAATAAAATATGAGGCAGAGGACGGAGCCTGCATTCAAATCCTATGACCTCCATCTCTAAACTACTTGCCCAAAGAGTTGCTATTTCTTTCCCTTGTAATCATTATTGGCACTTTGGGCATGGATCACCGGTTACAAACTGACCTCAGTCTGCCAAATGTTGTCACCACCAAGGCTGCTCGCTGCTCACTGGTATTATTATTAATATTATTTTTAGAGATGGAGTCTCTGTCACTCAGGCAGAGTGGCACTCACGCAGTGTCACGATCATAGCTCACTGCAGCCTTGAACTCCCAAGCTCAAGCCATCCTCCTGCCTCAGCCTCCTGAGTATCTGGGACCATGGGCTCGAGCCACCAAACCCAGCTCTCACTGGTATTCTGATGCTCCTTCTGGGCACACCGCATGGCCACAGTGCACCTGCTAAAGGTGAGTGGGTCCGTAGGACTAGCTAAAGCCAATGGAATGAGAGCAGAAGTGGGTTACTTCCAGGCAGTTGCCTTTAAGAGGCAATGAGTGATGTGCTACGTTCCCTTCCGCCTGCCATGGCAACCAGTATCTATATGTGACACTGGTTACCATAGATAGACATAATATAAATGTATACCATATATAGATACCATATATAGACATAATATAAATATAATTAAAATTTTATTTTATTTTGTTTTATTTTATTTTATTTTATTTGAGATGGAGTCTCACTGTTGCCCAGGCTGGAGTGCAGTGGCACAATCTCGGCTCACTGCAACCTCCGCCTCCCAGATTCAAGCAATTCTTCTGCCCCAGCCTCCTGAGTAGCTGGGATTACAGGCACTCACCACCACACCTGGCTAATTTCTGTATTTTTAGTAGAGATAGGGTTTCACCATGTTGGCCAGGCTGGTCTCAAACTCCTGACCTCAGGTGATCTGCCTGCCTTGGCCTCACAATAAAATTTTCTCCCTATAGACTCTAACCCCTCTTTGATGAAATAAGAGTTTGGAGCTTCAGAAAAGTTTGAAACTCCCTATTTTATTCATTCTCAGTAGCTAACACATGATATTGGATATTGCTAATGATGATAAACCTCTTTATAGCCTCAGATTCAACAAACCTCACATATTCCCTCTCCTCAGTGGGCTCTGCCGTTTAGAGGCCTGGGGAAATTACTAGCTATAAGCATCCCTGGGCTTACACCGGAAAAATCACAGAGGCGCCCAGCTCTTTTTTTTTTTTTTTTTTTTTTTTGAGACAGAGTCTCACTCTGTCACCCAGGCTGGAGTGCAGTGGCACAATCTTGGCTCACTGCAACTTCCGCCTCCCTGGTTCAAACAATTATCCTGTCTCAGCCTCCCTAGTAGCTGGGATTACAGGCGCACACCACCACACCTGGCTAATTTTTGTATTTTCAGTAGAGTTGAGGTTCCACTTTGTTGGCCAGGCTGGTCTCGAACTCCTGACCTTGGGTGATCCACCCACCTTGGCCTCCCAAAGTGCTGGGATTATAGGCGTGAGCCACCATGCATGGCCAGGCGCCCAGCTCTTATGGGTCTAAGGCCTCTGCTGCTTCAGAAATGATCACCCTGGACCCACCTGGAGGCTCTACCCCATCCCTGGAAAGCCCCTTTCTCTAACTCTCCAACTTGCAAGTATTTCCCATTACTTAATACTACGCTGGGGTATCTTTTCACAGTTGAAAATGGGGGGAGCATCAATGATTAAAACCCATTCCTTCCCTCCCTGGCATTTAAGTGCCTCATGACACCAGCAGATCCCAGCTATGCCTCTGAGAAGCAGAAAGTGAATCTGATCCACCTGAAAATAATATGGCAAGACAATCATTTGGCTTGGAATGATTGGAATCCCCTTCTTTCCCCAGTTGTCCCAGATATACGCGATAAGGTGCTTTTCTACCTGAGTCTATACTACGTGTGCCTGGGCAGCATTTATTGCTCTGTTAACGGGCCAGAGAAACAGGCACCCATGAATCAGAACCCTCCAGGGTCAAAGGAACTTTAAAGGCGATTGAAGTCTCCATCAGATGCTTTGATCTGCTTGGTTTTCCTGCCAAGAGATGGTCCAAGCTCTGCTTGACTGGCTCTCATGACAGCCCACTTTACCCCTGAACAACCCTGATAAAAGCCTTTTCCTTACAGGCTAAACCCTCTGCTATGCTCAGCACTGCCACTCCCTGACAGCTACAAATACAAAAGCATTTATGAATAATGAAGATTTTTATTGAAAGTTTTGTGGGGCTTCAATGAGAGTGTTCTATTTCACTCATGGAGCAAAATTCCCCTCCAAAATCTCATAAGCCATCTCTGTCCCTTGCCCAAATTTTTTCTCCCTTCAGCAGCTGCCTGGCTTCCTGGGCCTTTCTCTCTGTCTCAGCTATACTCTCTCCTGAAGCCCCTCTCCTCAGCTAGGAAGCCTGCATGTCCCTGTCACCAAAATAAGAGCTAGGGAACACCTCTTAGCAAAACAAAACACAGGCAAAGCCAAGGATAGCAGCCAAAGCCCGGCCACGCTGGGCTGCTCAAGCACACCTAGGGGAGGAGGCACCCCATTTCCACCACCAGCTCTACTTGAGCCAAAAGCTGCTTCCCTCATAATCCTTCAGTGGGTACGGCTCATACCCCTGGAGGCCATAAAATAAGACTAACCTCTTTTCTCTTCAAGTATTTAAAAGAGCAATTCTGTCCTCAAGTCTCCTCTCCTCCAAACCAAATAATTCCTGTTCACCACCCTTCACAGGGCATGATTTCTCATCCTCAGTGAAACTAATTGTATTCTTGAAAAGAGTGCAGTGACATAGACTCCTGATTAGGAAGACTTAATACAGTAAAGATTCTTTCCAATTAATGTACAGGCTCAATGCAATTCCAGTAAAAACCTCAGCGAGATTTTTTCTTATAATTCTATTAATTCGTGCCACACATCTTTATTGTCTAATATGTTTCAAGCATCTGCCAAACTATGCACTGAGGACACAAAGATAAGCAAAAACAGATGTATCCTTGCTCTCAGGGAGCTCACAGTCTAGTGCAACTATTAATAAAAATCAGGGCCAGGAGAGGTGGCTCATACATGTAATCCTTGCACTAGCGGAGGCCAAGGTGGGAGGATTGCTTGAGCTCAGGAGTTCAAGAGCAGCCAGGCCAACATGGCAAACTCCATCTCTACTAAAAATAAAAATACAAAAAATTAGCCAGGCCTGGTGGTACAAGCCCGTAGTTCCAGCTACTTGAGGGGCTGAGGCAGAAGGATCCCTTGAGTTCGAGGGACAGAGGTTGCAGTGAGCAGAGATCACGCCACTGCACTCCAGCCTGGGTGACAAAGTGATGGATGCCCTGTCTCAAATAGATAGATAAATAAATAAATAAATAAATAAATAAATAAAATCAGACCAGGATTTTAGATCAAACTCAAACATCAAATATTACCAAAATAATCAGATACATTAGAGTAGCATTACAAACCAAGATACATGACATGCAGGGCAGGGACATGGTTCTATGTGGAGCTACCCTGATGGGCGCGAGGCAGGTATGCCATGTGAGGTTTGGGAAGATCAGATGATTCTTCAGCTGACAGATGAAGGTGAATCAATAGAAGGAAAAAGAAGGAGCATTCCAGGCAGAAGGAAAGGTAGGTACAAAGGCCCTGTGGAAACCTGCTGCCCTGAAAGAACCAAGACTGGCCCACATCGCTGGGCCCAGAGTGAGAGTGAACAGGATGCGAGGGAAGCTGGATGGACTGACAGTGGCTGTCATTTATTAAGCACTTCCTATGTTGCAAGCAGTATGTATGCAACCCTCCCAACAGCCCTACCATGAAGTACTCCCTCAGTTCAGAGAGTGCTGCCCGTGCCTTCTGTCTGTCTGCACTAGATCCAAGGCAATCTAGACCACTCCCACTCCCCTGCCCCTCCCTGCTTCATTTGCCATTTATGTGCAAACAACTCCCATGTTGATACCTGTAGTCCCTACTCTTGGTTGAGCTCCATCCTCTTATATCCAACTGTTGGCTTCACATCTCCAGCCAGATATCCAAAGATATCACAAACACATGTCCAAGAACAAATTCATGATCTTCCC